TTATCTGTACAATAAGCTGTTTAAAACGTGCATTCTCCTGTTCAATTTCGAGCATCCAGTAATATAATCACACATGTCTTGTGGAGCGCTATCAGAGTATGCATTTATTTGTCATTTTAACTGTTTGGAAACTGAGCGTAAATGTGGAAGTCCTTCAAAGATTTATTATCCTGTTGCGCCCTCTATAGGACCAGCGACTAGTCGACGTCAAGTTTAAAGCGTCATGGTAGAGCATTGAAGTCGACTAGTCGATTAGTCGGTGCAACCCCTAATTTTAATATTGTTTTTAAATGTATTCATCTTTGTTTGGATTGTGATTAAAATGCAGTGGTTACATCTCATTTCAAATAGCTACAAATTATTTATTTTTTTAAGGCTAGTATGGCCTATAATAGAGCAAATATGCATCTTGATCTTGTTCATGTACTCTTTTGTTGTTTCTTATATCTTGCTTAAACTAAGAAAAAGGTATTGGCAATCAGAATTGGCCTTGATGCAAATTATGATCGGTTTACAAGTATTGTCACTGGTAGTTCATGTTAACTAATGTGGTTAACTAATGTTAACAACTTGTACACTTATTCTGAAATAATAGACAATTAGTAGAGTAGATAGTCCTGCCCCCAGCTGATGGGCTGGGCTGATTCAATGCTGGGCTGCTATTCATGAAACAGCAGTTTTGCTCTTGTGATGTTGCTTAATTACATCTTGAATCAGAATTAAGCATTCAGCAATGCCACAGCATAATAAAATAAAGTTCTTTTGAGAATCGTACTGTTCAGAGAATGTTTGTGCAGTGCACATAACAGAGTTCTGCATGTTTCAGCAACTTCTTTTAATTTGGTTTCTTCTATGTGCATTTCCTTGTTGTATGTGTGTGTAGTTCTGAGGTTTGTAGGGCCAGGGGATGACCTCAAGTCCTGCAGATTTACTCAGATGATGGAGCAGAGACTGGAGAATGCTTTTGCTGAAGCAGAGGCCATATTGATGAACTCACACAGCGGTCTCACTGTACAGGTGGGAGGGCCTAAACTTTAAATTACCTTTATTTTACCTTTATTTATTAGGTTTTTGTTTTGTTCTGTTCTTTTTTGGGGGGGGGGAAATGCTGACAATTCCATTTTGTTGATTTTGGTAAAAGGTCAGTCTGAGCACTAGTAAAATATAACACATTTTCTGTTTCTCGCTCCTCTTTTCTCACAGATCTTGAGCACATCACAGTCTATGGGTTCTCCTGCTGTATCTCTGATATATGTGGTGCATAATGGCAGTGTCACTCTCAATGGCACAACTGCCAGTAACCTTCTCAGCCAACTGACTGCTGAGCTTGTCGGTTACTTCCTGTTTTACCCTCCACTGATCACAGCTGAGCGTAAGTTCTCCCTGGCATTCCTCAGTTATACAAATAGGATGTAACATATGCAATTGTTACACTTTTTTATTTCCTTTTATATTCCTTTTGGGAAAAGTGTTGGTAAAGGATGCAGAATTTACATATAATCAATAATAAAGATTAAAGTTATATAAATCAGTTGAGTATGATTCAGTATGGTCAATTTTTTGTTCATAATTTTGTAAATCTGAAAGAAAACACACACACACACACACACACACACACACACAGGTTTGTTTTTGTGAAAAGTGGGGACATCCCATAGGCGTAATGGTTTTTCTACTGTACAGACCGTATATTCTATTGCCCTACACCAACCCCACCCC